AGTCCCTCTCCCCTATTTTCATTCCTTGCTTTGGAACACACAGGGAAAGTGTGACAGAGTTCCCGTGTGCTTGTTTGTCCAGCTCCCCTGCTCGATGTAGGTTCGTGGGAGTAGGGACCACACAGGTCTTGCTTGTCTGTGGCTATATCCCCAGCGCAGAGAACAGCATCTGGCATATATTTTGAATGAAAAGGTTGGAAACGCCATCACTGTTGCTTTGCAGAAGCACGAGCCGAACAAAAGGGGCTGAGATCCAGGGCCCCGAGCGCTCTCAGGAGGGGAGTCAGCAACCCAGGAGCATGAGGATGGGACGGCAACCTCTGGTCCTCACTGAGTCTATTTCTCTCCCCACAATAAAATTCAGTCTCCAGAAAGCTGCTTGTAAAACTGAATGAGAGAAGGGCTAGAAAAACCTAGTGCTCCCCTGCAGATGTGGATATTGTTTTACTCTTCAGTTATGAGGTTTAGGTTAAAAAAAACAGAGAATATTGTCAAAATATCCCGGACCCTGCTCTAGGCTTCTGGTGAGCTCTCTTCCCTTCACCCCAGAGTGGGTGGAAGGCCGACGTGCACTCATGGCCCAGGGTAGAGAGCACCACAAACCACAACCCTGGAGGGCTGGACGGACCTCGGCCCGATCTTCCTCCAGGCCCTANTGGTGAGCTCTCTTCCCTCCACCCCAGAGTGGGTGGAAGGCCGACGTGCACTCATGGCCCAGGGTAGAGAGCACCACAAACCACAACCCTGGAGGGCTGGACGGACCTCGGCCCGATCTTCCTCCAGGCCCTACGCTTACGAATGGGCACGGTGAGGCCTGGCAAGGAGCAGCAAGGTGCCCGAGGCCCCGGTCAAACAAGGTGCAACTTCACAAATCCAAGACAGCATGGACTGTTGGAGGCACCCTCATTTTAAGCACCCTGGGAAAGAAAACAAGACGCTTCCAGTTACACCAGGATCCACCACTGACTGCAGGGTGTATCTGATTTGCAAGATACAGGGGTGGGCGAAAGTAGGTTTACAGTTGTTCATATGGCAAATAATACAATAACTAATACATAATAATATAGGAATAAACTGTGTTTCACATGCTCACAACCGTAAACCTACTTTTGCCCACTCCTGTATTGAAAAATGGGTGGGGGAACGAAAGGCGGGTCTCAGAATCACAGAACTAGGGTTCAGGAGGTTTTGCGCCACTTCTCATTTCACTGAGCCGCGGTCTGTCGCCCAGTGACCCCTGAGCAGTGCTGGCCCGATGTTCTGGGTCACCCTGGAACAGAGCTTCTGAACCCCCACACCAGTGGCATCTGGGGCTAGGCAGTGCTTTGTGCTGGGGGCTGTGCTGTCCTGTGCATTCCCCGGCCTCAGCCCACTAGATGCCTGCAGCACCTCCCTAAGGGGTCACTGCCAAAACTGACGGACATTGCCAGATGTCCCCTGGCGGGCAAAATCCCTGCAGAGCTGGGAACCACAGCACTGGAGACCGAGAAGCTTAACAAGAGTGGACAGTGTCCCCTTATCGAGCTTTCATTTTCCAAGATTTCAGTTACTCGTGGTTAACCACAATCCAAAAATAGTAGATGGAAAATTCCAGAAAGAAGCAATTCACCGTTTTAAGTTGCTGCCATTCTGAGTAGCGTGAAGAGATCTTGCACCGTCCTGCTCCGTGAACCATCCCTTGGTCCAGCGGCTCCACACGGGGTGTGCTCCTGCCTGTTAGCCACTCAGTAGCCATCTCGGTTATCAGATCAGCTGTCGCCGTATCACAGCACTTGTGATCAGGTCACCCTCCTTTCACTTAGTAACGCCACATTCACGCAACTTTTATAACAGTACGTTGTTATTTCTACGTTACCTTTAGTTTTTGTTGTTAATCTTTTACTGGGCCTAATTTATAAATTAAACTTTATCACAGGTATGACTGTATAGGAAAGAACACAGTATATACAGTGTTTGGTACTATATGCCATTTCAGGCATCCACCGGGGGTCTTGAAACACATCCCGCACGGACATGAGGGGACTGCTGTGTGTGACCGCAAACAAAAGGGCAGAAGCACCAGGGTAGCAGGCGTCTCCTCTCAAGCCTCTCTGAGCCTTCAGACCCCTGCTGTGCACGGTGCGTCCCCAAAGGGGAGACAGGAGGTTTCCAACTGTACTTGACTACAAAGCCCTTTTTTGGCAGAGAACTTGATAGGCCTGGGCTCCCCGGGACTCCCCTTGGGAAACACTGCTCTGGGCCTCTGGAGGGAGGGGCAGGGGAAGCAAAGTGGGCGTCCACACGCTGTCTCAGTGTTCACACTCTCCAACGCCTGGGCCACCTCGCCAGTTCTCACCACTGACCCTGACCCCTCGGAGCCCCAGCACCAGCTCAGTGCTGGGCAGACAGGGCTCTTATTGTGTTTGTCTGCTGAAAGTAATTTGTCACACCACACCCTCAGGCTAGGGGGTTTGAGCCAACTCTTCCCAGTCCTCCTTCGAAGCCCACAAACAGTGGAAAAGGGATAGGATGCCGCCTGGGGACAGCATCAGGGAGAGCAGGGTTTGAAGAGGTGACCCCACTGACTCCAAGGACAAGTTCCCTGACCAGCTCTGCCAGCACAGCAGGCTGTGACCTCTACACACCCAGCCTCCTCTGCCTGTGTCCCTGCCCTGTCCCGCTCCGTGGACCACTCTGGCTGGAAAAGACAATCGGGTTTCTTTCTCACATCTGGCTGGCCTGGAGCCCACCAGGATAGGGGGCCACACCTCGCATTATTCACGCTGGCATTTCTGTTGTTAAAAACACACAAGAACAACAAAATAGAAGTCAGCGTGCTCAGGGCTGCCTGTTGTCAAGCGACAGGTCGGAAGCCGAATGGGCCTGTTTCTGGGGACTTATCTGGTCCTTGATAAAGTGGCATTCACCTCTCCCTAGGAAATCACGAGTAAGTGCCCCATTTCCCTTCCCCATAATGGAATTCCTTTGTCTAAATACACACACACACACATATATATTTTAAGTCAAAAAACCAAAAACATATATATACATTTTTAAAAGTTACAAGCCTAGAATTTTTCCATAGGAAACACCGCTCATCCCCTCTCCCTCCTCAGCTGATCCTCCAGAGGTTGGTTTCCCCACCAGTTTGGTTTTGAGTTCTGCTCTGAGATCTTCATAGCCCTAAACATGTCCTTGGATCACACTTTGATTTCTTAACTTATCAGCGGTAAGGAAGGTCTAAAAGACTCCCACTATGAAAGGGAGTCTCTGAACCCGCCCTC